CTTTACGGGAGTAGAAAGCCTCATCTTTCTCCCGCGGAGCAGCTGGTAGTTTCGAACCGCTGACCTTAAGGTTTGCAGCCCGATTCGTAACCGTTATGCTGAGTGAAATGAGTCAGTCGCAAAAGGAGAAATACTGCATAGGACCATTATTGTAAAAGACTAAGACAAAGAACCTATAAAATAGGGGTGGGAGGGGGACTACTTGCTGATTACCAGGAAGTGGGGGGTGGGGTCAGAGGAGGGAGGTGAAGGTGGAACACAGGGTAGGAAATAGACACAGGATATTTTGGGTGCTAGGGAGGGGGGCAATACACAAGAAGGGGAAGGGGAATGGAAGAATAAGGCAGATGGGAAAATAATTAGGCATGTTTGCAAGGGCTAAGCAGGACAGATGTAAATAATGATGTATGCATTACCTTGGAACAGGGCTCTGGGTTATAGGGACTGAGACATGGTTGGAATGGACAAAAGGGAATCTTGGTTTCCCTTGTATACATTATAAAATAGACACTTGAGGGGGAGAGAAAGGAATAGCCAGAAATATTACCATAGAAAGCTTATAAGTCCGTCTTCTGCCTATAACTGATTGGAATACCTAAAATGGGGCTACAACGTGCCCAGTAAAGGAGACTTCCTGCAGAGCCTCTGTATTACATAAGCCCATAGGTGGAATCCTGAACCTCACCCAGAATCTTCTGATGTGGGAAATTCCAACTTGAAACGACAAGCAGACCAGTCTGGAGTGACTAGAAGAACAGAAGATACTTCTTGAAAGAGAGACTGAAAGGAAAAATATAAAACAATAAAGACTGTCCAAATGATTACTAAAGAACAAGCAAGTTGCTTGCCCAGGAGATATCAAGCAAGTGGTCAGGTCCCCTCAGGGCAAACCCCCTTCCAAGACTAAGACTCAATGGGAACACACGAGCAGACATGCACCCTGACTGGAGACCACGTTCGTCACCGATAAGGGGAAGTAAGGGAAAAATAGCAATGAAGGTGTGAGCTAAGCCTTACAATGTTCAATAGATTCCTGTGAACCCGGGTGGAGGCCTGGTTGGCCAGCAGTGTGGCAAGACCTGGGGACTCTTGGGCCCAGAGTTAGTGACATAGCCACAGAGGATGAGAGAGGAGAGTGAAGCATCCAGCTGATAAGAAGAAAGGGCATATGCATAAGAACACCCACACTTGCAGATAATAACCACTTGACCTGGCTTCAACGACTGGATGATCAGAGAAGAGGAAAAAATGAGTAATCTGATTTGATGAACTTGGCCTACACCAGTGGATGCTGTAGCTCAAAAGAAGGAGCAAATCTTTACAGCGAGGATCATTCCCCCAACCTCCATACACAGAGTAGACAGGAATAGGCAAGTTGGACATTAGCTACTCAAATTGGGGGGGTGGGGGGAAGAGGGGCTACAAAGGCAAGAAGTGGCTGGCTTACAATCTTCCACTGAGTAGTATCCAATCCGTCTGGGTGCGGCTAATGAAAGGAGATGGGGATAGGTCTCTTGTGGTATAATAGTGAATAATTGTTATCAGGACTGACTGTGATGGTTGGAAATGTAAAGGTGGATGTTTTGTAGCAAAAGAAAGGGAGTGATTGCCTTTGCATTCCAGGAGTGGATGTTCCTGGAACTAGCAAGGGAGAAGAGTGGAGTGTGAGACCCTACCCAGGGAAGCAGTAATGCCAGAGATGGAGACAGAGATGATGACGTGGAGAAATGTAGCAGCTGGGGACACTAGACCCAGAGAGGGAGAGGGACTGTGTGCTGATAACAAGAGGGACAGGCTTGCAGGGTATACCCTTTGATTAGTTGATGATGCATAGAGGGCATGTAACCATGGCAATGAAATGATATACAATAGAATGAATGTAAAGCTAATGTTCTCCCATGTAAACTATCACATAATTCACAATAAAACTTAAAAAAAAAAAATCCTCCCCAGTGGACCAATAAACAACATTATTATCAATGGAGAA